AGGAGGCAGGCGGGAATCGAACTCATGCGGAAGCGGCCTCAGATTCTCAGTGCTGTGCTTTAACCCGCTGCGCCACCAGGGAGGGCCTATTTTTAATTTACTACTAACATTTTTGTTTATTACAGATCATTGGGGACCCATAATCTTTTCAGTGCTTAGTGCCTCTAAAAGTTTTAAACTGGTGCTGGATTCAGTTAGTTCGATTTTAAGGCTGAAAGAACGCCCCTGGGGTGGCACCTGGCACACAGCACTGTTGCATCTGTGCTGTAGCCTGGGCTACCTCATGAGCTAATTCCACTTGCATTAAAAATTTTCTCTATGGATTGTGGTAATGGTCATGGTTTTGCCTTTCAACTTCAGGTTTGTTTTCTGTGAGCAAGTCATTACTAGAAATAGACATGTACCACATCTAGAGTGACCCAGTAGAGCCACAGGCCAAGTCAAATGTCCTGTCCAGCCAGAAGCTGAAAGGGATGCCTGGTGAGGGCTTGGCCAGCTGGCTGCATGAGCTGGTGCAGTCTCCTGCCCTGTTCTGGTACTGTGCAGTGAAAACAGATTCTCCTCTGCTCAGTAAGTGACACTTAAATAATGGGGCTCTTTGTAATAATAATGAAAACTGATGTCTAAGCTCACCACTGACAAAGCTTGGATATTGCAGGAAGCTTGATGTTGAATATTTGAGAACTTTCAGTCCCATATTGGACCTTGTTGGGATGGCTGTCCCCCCAATGTGAGAACAACCCGGAGTTTGCAGTGTTAGTGGAAATGAAAACAATGGCTGTGTAGACTGGAGCACATTGAGCTCTGGACCTGTGCTTGGGTCTGTGCCAGCTGCTTCCCCTGCAGCAGATGCTGCAGACATTATGCGTGGATTGCCTCTTTTTAAAGAGGAAATTGAGATTCCAACATAGTAGGATTCACCCAGTGCTACACAGTGACTTAACATGACTTTATTTTTTTTAAGTAAGTTCCAAATTAGCATGGATATGCCATAATTGCAGCTTTGAAATATGAGGACTGATTTCTTCACTGAAATCAACAAAGATGTCCTGTGGAATGAATTAGTTATATCCCAAGTTTTAGAATTTTTTTTTTCTTGATTGGGAAATATCTCCACTTCTTTGCTCGGAACCTCACTCGTGTGGTGGAGAAACTTCCCAACAAGTCAGGAGCCTGATTGAACTTTTATAAGAGAAATAGAAGCTCTGTCATTCACCATCTGTAAGACCGAAGTATTTCCACATGGAGTTTAAGCAATTATCACACAAAATCTAATTCTTTTAGAAGCAGCAACTTTTATTTTGATAGTCTCTATGAGTGGTATTGCTTCGTAGTTTCTATGTAAACTTTTATTTCTAAAGTTTAATTCTAATGATGTAACACTGAGTTTTGCCAACTGATAAGTGAAGCTCTTTAACTTAGCTTGAAGTCAGTTGCAGGCACCTTTGGCCTTGAGCTCTATCTCTTTGCTTTGTGTCTCTTAGTCATATTTGCTGCCCTGATTTTGTGGTTGGAAGAGTGTTGCCTCCAAGGGTGGTTTAATGGCCACCACCGAAGTGTCAAGAACCGCCAAAGCAGTATCTAGGGGAATGGCCCCCAGTTGCTGAATGATTGGGCTTGCCCCTAGAATGTACTGGGCCAGCTTCCTGAACTGCACCCTTCCTAATGGACTGCTTTATGAAAGCAGGCTGGACCTCTGAGGGCTCAAGGCTGCTGTTGGAGGACCTTCCCTCATTTGGCCCTTAGCAGTTCAGTTCCTGCCACAGTGGGTGACAGGCTCACATGGATTTTCCAGGCAGTAGTGAACAGGCAAAGAGCACAATGCATATCGAATCCAACCTTCCAGGCCTTCCTGGAATTTGGCACTTGCCAATGTATCCTGGCCCCATTCACCACTGACTCACAAACCATTTCCTCCAAGAACCTACGTATTTGGACTTGGAGACCAGACGGTGTGGGCTCCATGCTGCCTTGGCTTCTTTTGACTCCTTGGCCAGTGAAGAGGCCTTCAGAGGATCAAGCTGTTGTAGGAGTAGCCTCTGTCCTCCCACCATTCTTACCCACTGTTCTTCTCTTACCACCTAGTGCAGGGTGTGCATCTGAAGGGAGTCAGGTGTGGGGCTTGGGGTTCACAGAAGCTTGTCAGGCAGAGTGCCATTTTTAAAAACCCAGATTCAACCATTTGGAGTGTTTCAACATTTCATTAACAAGCTAGCAAAAGAACAAATTACTTGCTATTATCACCACCCCATTTAGTGTCCACGATGTCTGTAGTTGTCTGACAAGCTATTCTGCTTCTCAGAAACAACCTGAGTCTTGACTGCAACTCAGTCATCCTCTCCACTAGTCAGGGGGCAGGGAGAGTCTGTCCTTCCTAAAGAGGAGGAGAAAAGAGAGGAGCAGTTGTTGGGATGCCAGGACAACAAAGGCAAGCTTGCCTTACTCCTTTTAGAGAACAGGCCTTGATTTGTCTCCTGGGGCAGAACACTTTTGCCCCTAGTATTTGTCTTCCAGAGGAGGTCAGCCTAATGTGAAAGACTTTCACCATGTTGAAATGATTGTCCTTTCTTTTAGACCTGCCAGGCGAGCATCAAGTGAACTTTATCTGCAAGTGTGGGCTAAAATAAAAACCTTTCTTGGCACCAGCTTGCTACAAAAGTCTAGACTGAGCCAAATCATCACACTGTAAACAACTTGGTATCTACAGTGAAATGGAAATTATGTGAACACATGAGCAGGTACTGAGGAGGAAGAGAATGTTTCAGGTAAGACATTTGTTCATTGGGTTCCTTCTCCTTGAGGAAGCCTGGGCACTAGCTTGGCACCATGTCCTCAGCACTTCACTGGAGACTGCAGTGACTAACCCCCACACAGTGATCCTTAGAGCAGGTGTTGGCATGAGCTGAAAGTCTTACCCTCTCCTTTTTGATAAAGTCATATATTTGTAAAAAAAAAAAAAAAAAAAATCACGAACAACATATCGCCACAATATATTTACAGTAGTTTAAATGGCTCACAAGACACACTCCTGGGCATTTTTCCTGAAAAATTCTAACAGCTACTTGAAGTTTGTCGGTCAGAGTGTCCTCAGGGAGGCTGCTTTGCCTCACACAGACAGTGCACTTGGGGCGACCCCAGCTCCACAGACACGGCCAGACACTCAACACTAGGCAGCTGTGTCTCCCCGAGATGGCTGCCAGGCAGAGTCCCACACACAGGAAAGTGCTCAGAAAAAGACAATCCTCCTCTCGTCTTCAAAGATTTTGACCTCTTCTGGTTTTACCAAGTTTCCATTTAGGCTGTTGGAGAAAAGCAGATAACACAGGTAAAATATAAACAACCTGTGCTTGGTCTTCCCAGTGCCTGCTCTTCCTAATCCTCCCATCTTCATATGGCCAGGAATTAAGGGGCGTTCTCTATTCAGACACCTGCTGCTATTAGCCCTTAACTGCTTCCTTCACTCTCTGAACTGAATCTCTTTAAGGTCACCAGTAGCCTCTGTGATGCTACTGAAGTTTTCAGGACTTTTCTTTCTTGACCTTCACAGTTTTTGACTATCCAGACCTATCCTTTTTTTTTTTTAATATAGTTATTTTGGTTTTAAATGTACAACACATTGACTTGATATTTGTGTACAGTATTCCATAATGATTACACTAAGTATTATCTTAGCAACCTTCAAATTTTCAATATAGTATTATTGATTGTAGTCCCTTTATTACTTAATTTGAAACTGGAGTTTTATATGGCTTCATGTTCTTTCCCCATCTCACCTACCTAAACCTGTCTTCCTCCCCTCTGATATCCCTTAAGTTTACTCTTATTTGCATTTTTAGGGTTCACATATACTAGTGAAATCTAGTATTTGGTTTATGGGATTTATTTCACTTTGCATACTACCCTCAAGCTTCAGTATTCCATTCCAAGGTTTAATATCCCCTCAATGTATAAATTCCATTGTGTAAGTATATATATGTATTTTTCAGCTCAATTATTCTCTGTGATTTGTTGCTACTTATATTTTCTTTTTACTTAAATTCTCAGCTTACCTTTTTTTCCCCTGAGTTTGATGAGTAGCTTTACAAACAATTACTCTTGAGTGATTTATCTGATAGACTGCTTATCTCTGTTTTGTTAAGGTCTTTCTGAGGTTTTACCTAATTTCATTCCTCTGTTTTGTTATTTTGCTTAACTCTGTGTTTATTTTTGCGTATTGGGCAAAAGAAGTCATTTTGGTGTGGCTTCTCCCAGTCTTGAAAGAGTGGCCTTGTCTGTGTGTTGAACATTAGCATTCAACTTTGCCCTAATTTTTGGTTGTCTCTTGAGCCAGTGTGACTGTCTCAACAGCCTAATTTATTCTTGATATGCCCCTGAGGTTGAAGTTGTATACCAAAACCTGTCAGTGTTCCAAGTTGGGGGGTGGGGAGAGGTGGGAGGATTTCTTTTAGCTCTGAGTTTCAGATAGAAAGCCAGACCCTCAGGTACGAGCTTTTAAAGTATACCAGCATATATGGTCCTGTGGGTTCTCAGCCATAAATCCTGCTGGCCTCCAGATGCGGCAACATGGGGGTGTCCCCTTGCAAGATGTCTCTTGGAGAATGCTTCAAGAGCTGGAGTTCTAAATGAGTGTAAAATCTCCATTCTGGATAGTACAGGTGATTTGTAGTGAGGTCTAGGGCAAACGCAGAAAATATTCCCCAACCTACGTTCCCGGAGTGGCCAAGTATGCAGGCTCTAGCAAGTTAAGAGTAGAAGCTCAAAATGTGCCTGCCCGTGCCACTATCACCAGAGACGTCCAACAGATTCTGGCTCCCCTGGCAGACACTTAAGATTAATATACTAATAAGTTCCAAAGCAAAGTTTTAAAAATGCTGTTCTAGGAACTGAGGTCAGGAAGCTGTGTCTTAATTTTATTTATCTTTTTTTTTTCTGGCTGTGGAATTTCTCTCCCCATTATTAAGAAAGTAGTTAATGAGAACCCCAGTGCTGAGCAGCGGAGTTGGCAGGGAGGCCACTCTGTGACTCTCAGGGGTGGGGGCAGGAGTGTGATTCTCTGTTCTAAACTCAAGAAAAACCTGCCTCTACCTCTGCCAGGGTCTCCTGGGTGTCAGCCTTCTACTGCAGGGCTGGCTCGGGCCTGAAGTCCAATCCCAGAACACTTAAGAGTCTGCATTTAGGGACACAGGACCTCTGTTCTCAGTTCAGTTACACTAAAACTCAGCTGAGTTTTAGCAGCCAGGACCTATTACCTGCCATTTTGCCAGCACCAAACCTGGCGCTGAAACTGTTGTTATTAACAGACAAGTCCCACACACATTCTCCAGGCCCAAAATGATGTGGTTTGCACCTGCTAGCAAATGCAAGTCTGCAAAGCAGAAACAGGAAGTTGAGAAATAGCACAAGTTAGCTCACAAATCTCCTGAAGCCTAGGACGCCTATAAAAATGTGACGAATAAGCCCCAGACTCCAGGCTAGGGTGTCCATCCCTCAGATTGACGAGTCCCACCATGCTTCATTTTCAGTGGGCTCTCCTTCTCAGGCTGTTAGCCCTCTGGGGAGTGCGAGGACGAGACAGAACGGAGTGGCAGGGGAGAAGAGCACAGACCCAGAGTCAGACAGTCTGGCCAAAACTCTCATTTGTCCTCTTGAGTGGGGCCTTGGTCTAGGGTTTAGTTTCTACAGCTGTAAAATAGAGATGTTGCCACCTACTTTACAGGATTGCTGGAAGGAGAACTAAATGGCAATTGCTCTAGATTGGCCTGGCACAGTTGGTGGTGCTGAGTAAATAGTAACTGTCATCATTATTTGCTACTCCAAATGGTGGCTGGGGCTTACCAAATCTCCTTTATGCCAGTGTTTTTCTGTAGGGCATCTGCCAGTTGGGCAACCCCCTTGACTGTGATTTGGTTCTGGATCAGCCTGAAGGAAGAAAAGGTCATGTAGGAAACACATACTACTGGGTTAAAGCTCCGCCTCCCCCCCCCCCCCCATTTGGGAGTTCTAAGGGCATGGTGTAGAGAAACGGTGTAGGGTAAGAGACAAGGTCAGGGAAAGACCTGAGTCCATGTGACTTTTAATCTGGCTAATATTTTCTAGGTCAGATCCACCAGCATAAATGCTAACCTTTCAAGTGTTTCATTTTCCTGTATATTTTTATAGTGGCAATAATATATCTGTGTATTCATAACAGATCATTTAATACACAAACATATATGTATCTGCACTTAATAGCTTTTCACTGCAGGGGAGCCCAATAAGAAATGTTTGGGGGTCCTCCCTGGTGGCACAGCGGGTTAAAGCACTGCACTAAAAAGCTTAAGCCACTTCCGCATGAGTTTGATTACCGACTGCCTCGGAGGAGATCCACATGGCGCGGCAGACCTCTCCTGGCCCGCCCGCTGCTCCCCTCAGCAGTGTACTTCGTTGATCTGCCTGTTCTGCTCCCTACTCTGTCCCTGGGAAATCCTCTCACCCTCCACATCTCTGGCCTGTACCCCAGTTCTGTATGAATAAGTAAATAAATCTTTAAAAAGAAAGAAAGAAATGTTTGGAGACCACCAGTGAAGGGCAGTCAGAGAAACAGTGGCCCAGGCTTGCTGAGCCTCCCTGAAGGTGGTGAGGCAATGGTTAGGCATTTTTTTAAAGTTAAGCAGCTATCACTGGCTTTTCTCTTCATGGGGGAAATAAAGGCTTCTAAGCTGGTACCATGTTCCCTCCAACATCTGGGAAAGAGAGAGGAGAAACAGTTCTCCTGCTGCCACTTATGTGTTGCAGTGGGAAAACACTGATAATGGGGCCTCTACAAGTACTCCATTATGCTGGGTAAGACAGAGCTTTCAGAGCTAGCACGGAAGCCTAGGAAATTCCAGAAATGCTCCCCTGGGCAGCGATGTTTCTAACCTAACCAGGAAATAAATGGAGGTCAAGCTTTGCTCTTCATTCCTGGTTATTTATAGCATAAAACTACTGCTGAAAATTGACCCTTAGAAGTCCTGAGCATTGACCCAAGAAGGCAGCTCTGTCAGGAAACTGAAAGCCTATGCTGTCATGACTGATGAGACTGTAGAAACTGTGAAGGGGTTTGCCCCTGCAAGAGGCAGGATGAATAGTGGTTAAAAGTTCCTTTAAAGAAATAGACTCAAACTACCTGTGCTTTTATTTCCTCCTTATAAAATGGGAATAACTGTAAGAGAACCCCCAGCCTGGGTGTGGGAGGTTTCCACTGGAGGATGTAAACAAAGTGATTCTCGAGATCTCTTCACGGAGCTCCATGGAAGGGTGCTCTGGTCACCATTTCTGCCAAGCACGCTGGATCCCGGTGCCCCCGGACACAGCCCTCCAACCTGGGCTCAGTCGCAGAGGTGATGGCCTTTGGTAAACATGACCACCATCTAATGTGGCCCTTTCTGCAGAGGGAGCAAAACTAGAACCTGGAAGTGAGCACAGAGTTCACTGCTTTCAGTTAAACTGCTGTTTTCTAATCACTTCCTTCAGAGTAGCCGCCACTGACACCACCTATTTCTTGCTGAAGGCAGGTGGGCGGAGAGCTACAAAACCCAATGGTGCGCATGTGCCCAAGTGCCTACTGCGGCTTCACCAGGGTTGTGGGCTGCTGTGCACAAAGCAACCAACACACCAGCCCTCTTCTAGCTCTGTTCTCCCAGAGAGGCTGGGCTGCCACGGACTTAAATGAAAGCCGTGGGCTAAAAGGAAAGGGGGAGAAGAAACAAGTATGTAAAAGTAAAGCAGTCACTTACACAGAGACGATCTAAATCTCACAAGGAAATGCAAGGGGTCCAGAATAGCCAAAACACTCTTGAGCAAGAACATTGGATGACTCAGATTTCCTGATTTCAAAACTAATTACAGAGTTATAATAATGGCACTGTGTTCCTGGCAAAAGGGTAGGCATGTAGGATATGTGTATGTGTGTGTGTGTGTCCACCTTTCTATCTACACAGATAGGTGCATATCTCTCTACATCTGTCAAGCATTTCTATTCCTAAGGATATACCCAAAGTATATTCAGAAGTTAGTAACAGTCATAACAAAAAAGTAGAAATAACCAATTGTCCACCAACCGGTGAATAAATATACCAAATATGGGATAGTAATGCAATAGAATAACACTGCCAAGAGAAGCAGGGAAGGATTGATACATGCTAGAATAAAGATGAACCCTGAAAAATTGTGCTAAGGAAATACAGATAAGAGGCCATTTATTGCACAAAACCATTTATAGGAGATACCCAGAATAGGCAAATCCATAGCGATAGAAAGCAGAATAGTAGTTGTCAGGAGCTGGAGGAGGAGAGTGGGGTGGGATTGCTTAACATGCAAGATTTTTTAGGTATTAGAGGATGTAAGTAAGAATGTTCTAGAATTAAATAGTGGTGATATCTGCTCAACCTTGTGAATATACTAAAACCACTGGAGCAGTTTGAAAAGGGTGAACTATGTGGCACATGAATTTTCTCTTAAAAACTATTTTTTTAAAAGTAGCATTCTAAGACCTGACTTACCATAATTCTTTCAATGTCTGGTTAACTTTCAACATTTCTGCCATGCTCTCTGCTGCTTCATCATTGAGTTCATTCTTGGTAAGCCTAGAAAAGAGAGGAAGTGTCCACTCAGAAGAACTGTTCCTGAACTCACAGGGGTGGGGTCTGAGCCCTGGTCACCCCACCTCATGTTGTAGTCGCTTGCAAAGACCCAGGCTCCAAGGTCAACTCAGCCCCACAGACAATAAATACTGATTTATTTCTAATGTAAATCTTTCACCCAAGCTCCATTCCTCACCTCAGCTACAGCTCCCCACAACCCTTTTCTAGCTCTCAGTCTCACAGAAGATAGGGGCCTACTATCTGCTATTCTAGGCTCTAGCCCCCAAGATGTCTTGACCACCACTGAGAGCACGTTATCACAGTCAGTCATATGAAGATGAGAAAAGTCTGCTGGCTGGATGTTAAAATGCATGTTGCTCTGAGGCCAGCTGTGAAAGACCCAGGTTCAATGACTGGAAATTCAAGAAGTCTCTCAGCTGTTCTTAAAACCATAAGGGGTCTGGATAAAGCACAGAGGGCTAGAAACTTCCAAATACAAATAGAATTGGCCCCTCTTTGTGCCAGTGGATTAAAGCATAAATAGGAGAGAACAATGGAATAGAATATTTTAAAGTCATTCCTTGAAGGACAGTTTGATATGTCTACCTAAATATTAAATATGTTGGCCTTTGAGTCAATGCTTAGATGTCTAGAAATCGACCCAATAGTGCAAAAAATATATACACACAAGGATTATTACATGCTGTGTTGATGTAAAATGTGAACAAATTTAAATATCTACCACTGAAGGCAACTGATAAATTGAGCACACCCATTCCACTGGATACTGTCCGACCCTCTGGGAAAATGAGTGGTGTAAGAACGAGGCAGAGGACTTTGCATTGAACTCTGCTGTATGGCCAGATGTCCAGAGCAGCTTGCTTGCTAACAGGATGAGCCAAGGCAGGTAGTGTAACGCTCCTGGTAAATATGAAGAGTAATAGCATGGACCTCGAAGAGTGGCTGTAAGGATGAGTTAACACATGCGAAGGGCTGAGACTCCTGTGTGGCGTACAGTCAGTACGCAAGCAGTGCCCAGGCTGACGTGACTCCTGGAGCGGAGTGGCTCTCATCCTCACCTCAGGGAACACTGGCCAGTGCCTGGAGGCATTTCTGTCTTTACTGACAGCACTCCTGGCATCCAGTGGGCAGAGGTAGAGGGGCTTTCTCAAATAAAAAAATTTCACAGCAGAAGTGTGGGCCAAAATGTCAACAGTGTTGATCTGCAAAAGCCTAACATACAGGGACACATAAGATATGTGGTTGAGATTTTTCAATGCTCTTCTAGCTTTCAGTGCTAGCAGGCTGGACTAACAGTCAAAGGCTAGAAGGAAGAGTTACTTTCAACTTCCTACTGTTCAGATTTCAGGGTCTCACTTTCTTTTTTAAAAAACACACACTACTGGCCCTCCCTGGTGGCGCAGCGGGTTAAAGCACAGCACTAAGAAGCTTAAGCCACTTCAGCATGAGTTCGATCCCTGCCTGCCCCAGAGGTGACCACATGGCATGGCAGACCTCTCCTGACCGCCCACTGCTCCCCTCAGCAGTGTACTTCTTTGAGCTGCCTGTTCTGCTCCTCACTGTCTCTGGTGAATCCTCTCACCCTCTGCATCTCTGGCCTGTACCCCAGTTCTGTATGAATAAATAAATCTTTAAAAAAAAACCACACACACACACACTACTATTCAAAATCTTTTGAAAGATGTTCTGAAGTTCGAGGGGCCAGTGGATCTAGTGGCCATTTGCATGACAACATTCTTCTCATTTGCACTGTTAGCCAGTATTTCGTGAATGCTGACTTGCCAGTAGAGAGAGAGATGTGGAATATAGCTCCCTTGCCTGAAAAAATTACAGGTGAGTAATAAAATGTAAATCAGATAGAAATAGAGTAAATGACAAAAATAGAAGGAACAACAAAAGTCACTATCAGGAGGCAAAAGATACTCGGTGAGCGCCCCTGCAGTGCAGAGAGAGAGTGAGGACTGTGGTCTCCTGGAACAGGTGACAGGTGTGCTGGAACGTGAAGGCTGAATCCTGGTGTGGCTATCAGGGGATGGAGGCTGTGTGCAGAGAAAGGCAGTTAAGAGAACATCTTGAGCCAGGTGCTTAGAAGTTGGCTGCAGCAAGGCTATCTGAGACGTCAGAAGATATCCCAGTGAAAAGAGCCAGGCTTCTGGTTTTCTGGGGGTCTGAGCTAGCAAAGAAGGCGAAGATCTCAACCCCTGCTCCTATGCCTCTGCATGCTTAAGGGCTTTCTTATCTAGAAGGAAAATAAATTATACCTAACATTAAGCAAAAACCCCAGAGTCTTTTCAATGGAGAGGCAGCTCTTCATTTAAAATTGTGGGTTGTACATAGACTTTGGGATAATTCCTGAGGCCCAGCCTTTCAATATGACCATGATTATTACCAGAATATTCTTAGAGTTGTGTTCTGCTGCAAGGCTTGTGCAAGGCTCTTTCCTCCTTCTGTAGAGATGCCGTTGAATGCAAGACTGGGGAGGAAAACACATGAGGTGAATTATTAGAGACACATGTATTTGGCTCGGGCTTCTGCAACCAAAACAGCCACTAATTCTCCACCTGGATGTGGACTCTGCCCAGGCTGACTTGAGGAAGCAGGAGCACAGGGCCACTCTGGCAGCCTCCCAGGTGGGGTGCTCCAGAGCACAAGGACAGGCCTATGGTTGCTCAAGGAGAACAGGAAACAGAACTTCTGTGAGAAAGCAAGTCCCTCTCTTCCCCTGGCCAGTAGGGGCAGAAGGAGCAGGCTGGCCTCAGGGACAGTGGGTCTCAGACACAGCAGTTACCTCAGTTCAGTCAGGCTGGGGTGATTCCTCAGAGCCTCTGCAAAGGCCTTGGCTCCTTCATCACCGATTCTGTTGCCCCACATCCTGAGGACAGAGGCAAGACAGGAAAGTTAACTCCCACCCACCCCTCATTTTCTGCTAGTGGCTGCTGCTTGACTGAGTATTCAATAGGTAGATGCTTTGCTCCATTCCTACCAGCCTCTTAGCTGCTGTAGATTCCAAATTTAAAGTAGAAGACTTCTGAATGTATGTTGATCAGCAGGTCACACAATGAGAAACCAAGCCTCACTCGAGCTTTTGGGGGAGCTATCAGTCAGGGAGCCTGTGCTCAAAACTGTCCCAGAAGACAATACAGACAGCTCTGACCTACCTAGCTTCGATCTAGTCATTCAGTAGAAGCTGTTCTTAGATTGTTGATCTTTCCCAGGCTAGTGACAGGCAGGACCACACGCCCTAGTGAGGCTGGGCTTCCCGGTCAACCACATGATCAGCTCACTACAGTGTGCTGTGTTGCCAGCAGTTGCCACTTAGGATATGTTCAATTTGCAGTGAGTACATCAAGACTAGCCCAATGGGAAGTCAAGGAGGACTGTACCTGAGTGTCCCCCTGCCTCCTGTGCAGATGGGCAGCAGCCTGGAAGGGGAGCATCTGCAGGTGCTCCCAGCACTGCTCCACTCTGCACAGGGCTCAAGCACACTCTAGAAGACATGGCCTCCAGAACACCACATAACAGGATGTTATGAAGCTGCCCCATGCAGATTGTCATGGCCTTCATGGGTAGTGGCACTAACAGAGCTGTGCTTTCCCCAGCATCCTCCTGGCAGGAAGCCTGAGAGGCTCTGGCTAAAAGGAGGCTCTCTGCTGTCAGAGGTCTAGGCTTCAGAGCCAGCCTGTTGGCTACCTGCAATCTCAGGCAAATTACCAATCTCAACCACAAAATGAGAATAATAGCATTTCCTGGTAGAGTTGTGAGGACTGGAAAGGCTTCTCATACAGAGCATTTCCATCCACGCTTGGCCTGGAATAGTGTCACTTGAAGGCCATTGTCTGCACAAAGCAAAGCAGATCCATATGCCCACTGTCCTCAGAACCGGGGCCGCTTCAACCTGCCTGCTTCCCTCCCAACTTAGCTGTGAAGCCCCGAGAATAAGAGTCTTCAGTGTTGGGCTTTAAAAGTGTGTGAACTCTACAGTTGAATGGCATCAAATTTTTAACAAAGTAGAAAACTACCCTTGACAGGATATTAAATGAAGAGGGTAGACTCAAATTGTGAACATACAGTCTGACCCCTATTATGTTAACATCTCTGTATGTACAGAGAGCAGAAAAACTTAGCTGACCTCAAATGCTGAGTAATCAGCAATAAGTAATCATTTCTAAGAGGACTTCTATTTTTCCATAGTTTACAAATAAAATTACCTGTTTTTCATGACCACTCAGATAAGATTTTTTAACAACGGAAAAGTATTTTAGAACCAAAACCACAAGGCACCACCTCACGCTGATCTGGATGGTACTATACAAAAAAGAAAGTAAGATTTGGGAAGGATGTAGAAAAGTCAGATCCCTGTGTGCTATTGGTGGGAAAGCCAGAACAGTATGGCTCTCCCCTCTGCACTACCATGTGGTGCAGCAAAGAATTGAATATCTAGCCCCAAAGAATTGAAAATAGGGCCGTGAAGACCTATTTTTACATCTGTGTTCATAGTAGCATTACTCACAGTAAATGAAAGGTGTAAGTAACCCAGAGTACACCAACAAATGAATGGACAGACTTCGGAAGAGACACACAATGGAGCATTAGTCAACCTGACAAAGGAGTTATATGGGTCCACTTCCATGAGGTGCCAAGTGCAGTCAGGCTCATAAAGATAGAAAATAAAATGGTTGGGGATGGGGCTGGCAGACATAAGGAGTGATTGGTATAGTTTCAGCTATAACATAAAAAATGTTCTGGAGATAGAGGTGCTGATAATCATACAACAGTGCAAATGTACTTAATGCCACCGAACTGTACACTTAAACTGGTTAAGAAGGTTAATTTTATGTAATTTTACTACTGAAAAATAAGCCTCCAGAGAATATAGCATTTCCCACCCCCCCAACCCCAAATTTGACATTGTTTTTTTTTCTGGCCACAGAGTTTCTAGTATATAATGGGGCCATCATTTTAACACCAGATTCTTCACATGAACATCTGCCTGTGGAGACTCCAGATAAGGCTAGAACAGCTTCCTCCATCTGCTTACAGGTAATACTGGCTTTTACCTGAGTTAAATAAAACTAAAGTTGTAGTTCATCCTGGCTTTCCACACATTCCCATCAGAAGCCGGATGGTTTGCTAGAAAGCACTGGGGCCTCTTCCTCACTGCTTGTCTCCCAGACCCTTTTGGAATTGTCTCTTTGGAAAGACCAACAACAGGCTGAGTTACATACTCCCACACATTCATCTCCACTCACCCGATATCACAGATGGATTTGCTGTTCTTCACAGCCAGGGCGAGACTCTTCCCACCTTCACTGGTTATTTTGTTTGCTCCCAGTCTGCAGAGAGTTGTCACAAGTCAGCCTTGAGACGTGAGGGAATTCTAATGGCCTCCCTTGAGAGACGGGCTTCCTCCCAGGAGATATTCATAACCTCTGTAGAAATTTAGGAACCTGGACTCTAGCAGGGAGGGGTTAGGGGAGGTTCTCTCATTGCTCTCTGGACCACCATTCACTCCCTTTGCAGTTCCACTTCAACTGCAAGTGGTCAAAGTGTGTGTCAAATGCTTGCTTGCAATTAGATGGGGTGCTGTAGTCTGTTGTTTGTAACCCCTCCCCAATATATATGTTGAAATCCTAGTCTAGTAGTGATGGTATTAGGAGGAGGGGGCTTTAGAAGGCACTAAGGGCGTGCAGGTGGCACTCTCAGGGACGGGATTAGCCATGTATAAATAGAGGCCTCGGGAAGCTCCTTCCCCCTACTCCACCATGTGAGGATAGTGAGAAGGCCTCTAGATGACCCAAAACACTGAAGCTACCAGAACCTTGATCTTGGTCCCTCCTACTGTGAGAACTGTGAGAAATAAATTTTGGGTGCTTACAAGTCAGCTGATTTATGATATTTTGTCATAGTAGCCCCCTGGGTTACGAGGAACTGACTCAGGAGGGAAAAAGACCCCCAGAAAGAGTGATCCGTTCTTCCTTCAGGTCATTAATCAAAGCCCAAGCCTTTTCCCTACTAGTAGCAGGTGGCACTTGTAAAATCTCAGCCTCACCCACAGCTCACTCACACACAGGTCTACTAACTTGACTGATACAGCCCGGGGAGAAGCAGAAGCATTTTCAGGGTGAAAGCTTTTTGTGGTGAATTTATTTATTGAACAAGAAAGGTTTAATAAGATCAGGAAGGAGAAGTAAACTATTAGGGAAGTGCCACACACACACACTCACACACACACACACACACACACACACACACACACTTACTTGAGGTGCATGAGGCTTTTGCATTCATCCAGGATTCTGGCTACATATCCTGCACCAACATCAGTGATCTGGTTGCTGTATAAGCTTTGAAAGAAAGTACAATTGTGAGAATGACTCCTAAAGTTCTCTTAGTGACCCCTCCCCAGACCCCCCTGTCCACACACACCTTTTTTTAATGAGTAAGCGCTGTCTGCCATTTAACAAAGTTCGGTTTGAAAGGAGAAGGGCAGGGCATATGGTGATCAGTGTGGAATTCTAGGGCCTCACAGGCTGGGATCAAAGCCCACTCCACCTGGGACAAGTTCCTTAACCTCCCGTGCCTCAGTTTCTCCATCTGTAATACAAGGGCTGTAATATTTAACAACCCCTCACAGGGTTGTAACGATGACTGCGAGATCGTGGAAGCCCCCACATGCACAAGAGCTTGCTATATGGGAGGAGATGGGATTTTTAGATTTAGATTACAGCCAGCATGCTGAGTGGGAAAAGCTTCCCTCTGGAAACGTGTTTTTTGTTTCTATGTTTAGTTATTTTGCCACTTGATGCCAGTTCAAAAGTCAGCCACAAAGAAGGTAAAAGTGGAAACTAGACTGGGTTTCATGCGTCCCACAGTTGCCAAGAACTCCTGAGCTGAGCTGGGCATGTGCCCCTGTCTGCACTTACAACTTGAGAAACTGAGGTCTGGAACTGACTGAAGGCAGACTGGCTGGCTCCAGTTTACAGGGTCATTGTGGCCATTGGCTGACTGAAGAGGCCCTCATCCCTTGTCTTGAACTCCTAAATCCAGAAGACTGAAAACTCAACACTTTCCAAAATTATTTTAGCGAACAAGTGCAGCTTTTATCTTTATCCCATCTGGTTTGAGTATTCAAGTATTTTGCTACAAAAGCAAGTATGGCCCTGATGCAGTGGTCCTGTACCTACTATAGAGCTTGGATTCTGACTGCTGATGTGTATCTCGCCCCAGTGCTCTGGCAATGAGGCCACAGACCCATGGTGGGGAAGTGTAAGACAGAATTCTAACGTTCACAGAATATACCCCCAGCATTTTCCTAGTCATCTCCTCCAGTATTCAGTTGTAAAACCATCTGCCCATGCTTTAATTGCCAATAGGATCCCAATGATACAAAAGGCTGAAGCTGGGATTTCCTGATATGCTCAAATAATGGGCCACTGGCATGGTCACGAGCTAGGCTCTGGACCCAGGAAAGGGCTTCTGGCCCGTGTCCCTGTTGCCCTGATCCATCAGCCCCAACCATATGTTGACATACATCAACAATTTCCTGCTTCCTGGTATTATTCCTCCAGAGTTGGCCCAGTATTCTTGAAAAATACCTACCCAAGGAATGTTAGAATTTTGTATTTGGTCAGTTCTTCATAGAGCACCTTTACCCCACTGTCAGTGATCTGGTTTACGCTGAGTCTGAAACCAAACAGAAAAGAAAATGACAAATCAGAGCAGCTGTTCATTAGAAATTCCAAAAGGATCCAGACACCTAAAAGACCTAGTATTTTTCCAGTCACAAAGGCCCTCAGAGCATGGCAATAGGAATCCACTATCTGGCCGAGAAAGGCTAGTCATTGTGAGGCCCACAGTTTCAACCAGAGCAGCCCATCAGCAGGACTTTGGCACAGCCCTGGTCAACACAAGAGCATCGAGGGACACAGATGGACACATAAGGGTAGCCATTACCAAGGTCCTGAACTAGAGAGTTGGCCAGAACCCTGTGTATACACATTACATAGCAGCGCCCATGGGACTTGGAAATGTGTGGAGTGGCTTTAAGGGGTTACAGAACAAGAGAAGGACCGCTCCACCAGGGGGTTGGGCTGGTAGGAGGGAGGCAAAACTCAGGACAGTCCCTGTGAGAACTGTCTGACAACAAATGCAGTTAGACTCCCATCTGGAAACACAAGAGCTGGACACAACTTGCCTCCTAGTCAGTGGAGGAAAACCAGGGGTGTGAGGTGGCCATGGAGAAACAGCCAGCAGTGACCAGAAGAGGCAAATGTTGGCAACGCTTGTACTTGCCAACTCCTCTTTACTACAAATGCCACCTCAGAGACCAGGCTTAGAGGAAAGACAGGCTTTAGGATGATGACAGGCTTTAGGAACGCTCTGCAAAATCCTTGTGTCAATAAGATATTTCAGTGTGGCTAAAAAGTGAAATAATCTCTTTACTACCAAGTAATCTCTATGACAAAGAACCCTGACCTTCTAAGTCCTCAAGCCCATCACTAAGAGGAAGCCAAAGCTCAGAATAAGGCTTAGGAGTAGGAGGGAGTGAGGGATGAGGAGAGGAAACAGACCAGGGATCAGCTTCTTCCGTTTAGAAAGGAACAGACCGAAAATATTTTTGTCTCTGCTGATCACTTGGTCAACACTGCAAGCTTTTAGCAATGTGCTAGGAAGCAGCCAGCACAGGAGCAAATGTTGTCGCTGTGTCCCAGATAAACTTAATTTACAAATATAACCTCCTGGATAGAATGAGCCCACAATCTGATCTCTGTGATAAGTAAAGGGTTAAATTGAAAAGGTTAATTCTAAGTCACAGCAAAGTGATGAGGTCAGACATTCTAGATCCACCTCTCTGGTACACACCCCGGTGCTGGGGCTCATGACCGCACTGCATGGTCATACCAGTGGGATCAATGATACTAGTCACTAGCTTAATCCATGACATTAAGTTCTGCTCAGTGAAATCTAAGTGAGCTCATTAGCAATAGCTGAGAACTCTTCTGAAAAGAATGGGTGCGTCCTTCTTTGCCCTCCTTTCTTCTTGGGGCTAGAAGATGATGAATGGTTGGAGCTGGTGCAGCCATCTTGGACCAAAAGGTAGAGTCAAGCAGTAGAGAAGGTGAAGATTAAGGCAGGAGAAAGCCCTACTCCTGGTAGTCACAGGAGGACCAGAGCCTGGTCCTTCAGACTTGCATGAGAGAAATAAGCTTGAAACTTACCTGAGCTACTGTTACTTTGAGGTGTAGCCAAAACTAATCCTCACTGATGCCCTTGAGGAGCTCAAAATATTGGATAGTCCATTTCCTCCCTTGTTGGTATGGAAGGAAGTGTCACTTTGGGACAGCTGCCTGGGGCCAAGATACTGATCTTATAAAATGGCCACAGGGAGACCTTGGGTGTGAGACTGGCTGAGGGTGTGAAGAGTCACTGCCTGGGAGCCCAGAGAAGACTCCAGGCCTTCCAATTCCCAGGCCAGGGCAGCATCGGGTCCCCTACATCCTATCGATGCCACATGATGGACACTCTGGTATCCAGAATCAGCTCCAAATCTGCTCTGATAAGAAATTCATGGACTAAGTAATAGAGAATTGAAACCACATAGAGATTTATAAGGAATATTTTCTACTAGATGCTAACAGAAGAAAGAATGGTCTTTGTCTTTTCTAAACCATCAAACAGGAAACTAACCTAATATCAGTGTTGTTTACTTAGATCTCTGGCAACTCATGGCTGCTGGCTGGCTTTGATCATGCCAATTAGCACAAAGTCTGCTTTTTTTTTTTTTTTTTTTTATAATCATGAATGTTTCCCTGTGCCAGAAAGGTTTTCTGGGTTACTTCTGAGCCTCATGTCAACTTCAAAAGGTAGCTTCTTTATGATTCCATCTTTGCCAGCTGTGTGACTTTGAGCAATATGTTAACTTCCTTGTGTCTCTACTTCCTCATTTGTCAAAATAGAGATAACAGAAGTACATACCTTTTAGGGTTAAGAGAATTGAATGGGGTAATACTTGGGATGGATTTCACTCATTCCCAGTAAATGCTGGCTGTTATTACTGTGATTGCTAGGATTGGAAAATCTCAGGGAGGTTGTTCAAGGGCACCTGGCTGGGAATGATCCAGGTCCACCTGACTATAAAGCCTGCTCCTTGCCTCTGCCACCCTATGGTAGAGATGGTTCAGATGTTCAAGACTAGAGGTTACACGTCCTATGGTAAGTCAGGAACACCTACTCCACAATCCTAGTCCTGGTGTCCCCCAAGATTGGCACACCCCAGCCCTGCTGGCAGCTCCCAGTGCTTGGCAGCCTCACCTGATGACAGTGAGGCGGCTGAAGCAGGGCTGCAGTTCCCGCACGCCATAGTCGTTGAGATTGTTGTTGTCCAGGTCGAGGGCCAGCTGCTTGCGAAAGTGGTGGAGAAGGAAGGAGAGGGCACTGCAGTCGGCCGAGTAGGCGTTGCAGTAGGTCAGTTTGAGGTAGTTGGCACAGATGCCCCTGGCCGCCAGCTGCCCCACTTTCTCGCTCTGAGTCTCATAGATGCAGCGCGCCATCCAGATGAAGGTGGGCATGGCCTGCACCTGGTTGAAGCCCCCGGACCGGACTCGGGGCAGGTTCCTCAGGTAGGACCGCAGGCTGACGAACAGGTGTGCCCACAAGGCCTTGCGTTTCCTCCTCAGAATTGCAGCAGGCACCAGGTGCTGCAGGAGTTTCCTTTTGGCTTTGGACAAAAGCCCACACAGGAAGAGGTTGGTGAACTGAAAGTGATCCTTTTTCTTGAAGAGATCTTCCCTCACCAGTCCACTGCTCCCCAGGCACTGGAGCGGGGGATAGCAGGATACCACTGCTGTCTCCCCAACGGGTACCCACTCCTGGAAGAACTTGAGCAGCTCCTGGGTGCCCACCTTGTTGTCCACCACGAGGAAAAAGGCAGCCAAGAAGGCCTGGACAGTGATATGGAAAAACTCATAGGATGGCTGGTCCTGTGCGAGACCCACCTCTGGCACAGCCCGCAGGAAACCGAGCTGCAGGTCCTTCTCCTGGATCTCAGAGGCCTGCACCTCCTCCTGGCTGAAGACAAAGAGGTTCTTCTGCATGCCCCAGTGGGCCACACGCCCCAGCGAGTGCAGAGTGGCCCGGCCAGCGCGGAAGGTCTCCGTCTGGCTCCGGGTGTTCCGCTGCACCAGGCTGGTGGGCTGTGTCCTGTTCAGGTGAACCTCTGTAACCAGCAGGAAGATGTCGGTGAGTGTCATGGTGCAGTCAGGCAGCTGCGGGGAGCTCTCGAAGGTACTGTGGAAGTGCTGGAAGCATCGCAAGATGATCCAGCCAAAGAGGGGCACAGCGCACAGGCTGAAGAGGTTGGGGTTGGCCTCCAACTGGTCCAGCAGGCGGTTCTGCAGGGCCCGATCAGGGAACATCTTCCTTGTGTACGCCCTCACGTGGCTGGGAGAGAAGCCTCGCAGGTGCACCTTCTTCCGAAGGAGCTGGCGTGGGATCTCAAAGCCCGTGCGGGCTGTAAGCACTTTGCTCGCCCCCTTGAGCAGCTTCCCGCTCAACAAGTTGGCCAGCAGGGCCAGCGGGTGCACGGGATCCCAGGGGGAGCAGGAGTCAGGCACACTGCTTAGGTCAAAATCTGAGTGGAGCTCGTCCAGGCCATCAAAAGTGAAGAGGGCTGTGTGGGGAAAGCGCAGCAGGAAAGCAAACACCTCCTCAGGGTCTTGCTCCGGGTAGCAGTTGTGCTTGAAGAGCAAGTCCTGCAGACACAGCACATCGCTGTCCTTGAAGCAGCTGAACATGCGGCAGCGGAAGTGGAAGAAGAATTTGAGCCCTGTGTCCAGCCGGCTTGCTGCCCACAGGCCCTGCAGCCGTTGCAGCAGCATGGACTTGCCCACGCCCGCATCACCAAAGACGAAGATGGTCTCACCCTGCTCATTGAGAACGCCCGCGTTGTGGTCCAGGAGGCAGGCCGGACTGTCCAGGCAGCCCAGGCTCTCATTGCTGAAGCTGACCAGCTCTACAATGGTGTCCATGTACATCTCCTCCAGCAGCAGCTCCTCCTTCTGTGCATAGCAGAGGATGAACTTGGAGTCCCGGCCCAGTTGGTGTCGCAGCTTCTGGGTGTACCTGCTCACTGGGAGAGAGTGAGTATTGGGACCGGGAGTCCCAGAACGGAGGTGAAAGTGGGAAAGGGAAGGTGGGAGTGGGAGCAGAAACCGGAGGTCTCAGGAAAAGAAGCCAACACAAACCCATAACCTAAACCATGAGGCCAAGTTTAACTCCTCAAGGGAAAGAGCTGGTATTCCAGAATCTGAGCAACTTGGGCCTCACTCCTGCTGACTTCCAATCCAGCCAGTCAGAGGGTGACAGACTCAAACCAAGCTCATTGTGTGCGAAGGACCTCCCTATTCCTCTGCACAAATTATCACTGAACTGTAGCTATAAACAGAAGTTCCTCAAACTTGGGAATCAGTGTCCACCCAGAGCCAGGATCCTGTTCAAATAGCAAGAGCCAGCCCCTACTGAAACTTTGACTGTTGAGGAAGAAAATGTCCTAAGCTTACTTTTGCTTATCATATTACTCTTGCAACAGTAAGTCTCACAGAAGGGAAAGCTGAAACTTTGGAGAATGACACATTTGACATTAATCTGCAACACAAATGAGGTGTGCCTCATCTAAATGGACACAATTCAGTAAACTAGGATGGAAACTGGTCACTAGTACACAGAACAAACCAGTCCTGCTTCCCAAGATGAGGTCTAGGGACTCCTGAGGGTTAGCATGAGCCCCGGGCTGGCCCCCAGGGCAGACTGTAACTAGCAAATCTGGGCACAAAACCAAGCTTACGCCAGAGGAATGTGGTCCTCAAGTAGCCAAGTGCTCCATTTGTTCCTTCAAAATAGTTTCTGGACTTAAATTATAATTAAAGAAAAATCAGATACCTATGAAGACATCCAGATTCATCTACACCCTCCCCCATTACATAACCCAACTGGATTGTCTGCCCTATACTCATAAAATGACTGTTTTTTACGGTTTTATTAAGAGCTAATTTAAGTATATTAAGAGAGAAAGGTACTTATTTTTACCAGAGGTATTGTGTACTAATCAATATTTTGTAGTAAATTTAGGAAGTTATGCTAATATCACCAAAACCCAATTCTAGAACATCAATGCAAGCCCCTTTGCCGCCAGCCCTTGTTCCCACCTTGGTGCTAGGCAACTATTGATTTGCTTTCTATCCCTATAAATTTTCCTTTTTGAGACATGTTATAAATGGAATCATATGACATGATCTTTCACATGTGGCTTCTTGTAGAGTGAATTATACTTTAAAAGCTACATGGTAGCTGACTAAAGGAACAAATGGATGATTCTTTTAAAAGAACTATACAGTATGGCAATATGTCTTGAAAAGGAGTTAAAACAAGGTGATAAGAAGCAGAAAAAGTGAGACGTGAGCAGAGGCCAGTATGTATCTGCTGGGGACACAAGGCAACACCCTTGACCCACACACACTGCTGATTGGCCTGGTTACCACTAAACACACATCAATTGTCTGGGAAAGTGTCCTTGTTTCTGTTTACAAGGTCAAACTATGTACTTTAAAAAGAGTCTGGAGAAGACAACATAAGAGACCTATGAGACATCATCCAGAGGAATAACATTCACATCACAGGGATTCTAGAAGAAGGGGAGGAAAGGAGGGAGAAATCCTATTTGAAGAAGTAATAGCTGAGAAAGTATCCTAAGTGGGGAGGAAACAGACATCCAGATCCAAGAAGCTCAGAGTTCCTTACAAAATAAAGACAGATGTATACCAAGACATATTTTAGTCAAAATGGCAAAAATTAAGGATAAAGAGAATCCCAAAACAATTAGAGAAAAGCAAAAAAAGTCATACATACTCTAAAAATAAAGGAAAAAAAAAAACACAAAAAACCTCTGAGGAACCAAATAAAGGATCAGGGAAAAAATAATAGATAACTGTAAGTCAGAGACATTCTGCAGGGGTGGGGGAGGCAGAGAACTCCGGGAGTGGGGCGACCACAGAGAGTGTGTGATGGGCGAACTGATATGCACACAGGTGAATTGGTGGTGGAACTATACGGAGACTATACCTGAGAAAAGAAGCAAATGCTGTAAAAAAAAAATATGAACAATGTATCGATGTAAAATGTAAATAAATAAAAGTATCCTCTACCCAACTAGGCAATCACTAAAAATTGAAGGAGTGATAAAGAATTTTACAAACAACTGTTGAAAGAATTCATGTCCTCTAAACTTGCCTTGCAAGAAATAGTAAAGTATCAAAAAAAACCCCAAAAAAACTCACAGAAGAAATAAATCTCAAAAAAAAAAAAAAGCAAACAAAACAAAACAAAGTAAATATGGAGAAGAGGAGAGTAAAAACAGGACCTGGTGGAATGAACACAGGATTAGCTTTCAACTTGAGAGACTTTAAAAAGTAAAACCTGGCCCTCCCTGGTGGCGCAGCCGGTTAAAGAGCTGCACTAAGAAGCTTAAGCCACTTCCGCATGAGTTCCATTCCCGCCTGCCCCGGAGGAGATCCACATGGCGCGGCAGACCTCTCCTGACCCTCCCGCTGCTCCCCTCAGCAGTGTACTTCGTCGATCTGCCTGTTCTGCTCTCCACTCTGTCCCTGGTGAATCCTCTCACCCTCCGCATCTCTGGCCTGTACCCCAGCTCTGTATGAATACATAAATAAATCCTTTTTAAAAAAGTAAAACCTACACATGAAACACATAGCATCTCTAGGGAAAAAGGACCTAGAGGAAAAGGATAACTATGGAGTGTAAGTATCTCCTCTGACCACAATGGCCTGAAACTAGGAATTAACCTCAGGAAGAAAATGGGGAAAACCTCAAATATGTGGAGACCAAAACACATTTATTGAATGACTGTTGGGTCAAAGAGGAAACTGATCAAAGGAGAAACTAAAAGAATACCTAGAAACAAAGATATCAGAAACAATAGGATGCAGCAAAGGCAGTGTTAAGAGAGAAATTTATAATCATTTGGGCCAACATGAAGACACAAGACCTAACGAAGCAAGAACAAATGAAATAAGACTTCTAAAGGGAAGGAAATAATAAATAATAATAAAATGGCCCTTATCAAAAAGACCAGCAGCAACAAATGCTGCCAAGGATGTGAAGGAAAAGGAACCCTCATAAATTATTGGTGGGAACGTAAATTGGAAGTGCCTATGAAAAATAATGTGGGGGACCTTGCAAAATTAACTAAATAGAAGTACCAGGCGATTCAACAATTAAACTCCTGGATATCTGTCTACCTAGAAATGCAAAAACATTATCAATGGGTTATGTGCACTTATATATTAATTGTAGCACTATTTGTAATAGACAACTTGTGGAAACAATCTAAGTGTCCAAGGACAAAGGAGTGGATAAGATATGGTATATTTTATAATACAATACAGCTATTAAAAAGATTCAATCTTGCTATTTGCAACAATACAGACAGAACTTGAGGGGCTCATGCTAAGTGAAATAAGTCTTAAGGAGAAAGACAAATATCAGATGGTGAATCATATTCATGTGTGAAATACAGAGAAAAAAAGGAACAGGAAAAACTACACCATAACAAACCCTAGAAATCTGACTGGGTTGAGGAAGGGGAACAAAGTGGGAATGGGTGGGGTGCAATGGACTGGTGGAAGATTAGGGGTGTGTAGTGTGGCAACATACATGTGAAGAGGAGTACATGGAAATTGAGTTGGTACCCCAAATCATATATAGAATGTACCATTGTTGCCTCAATTAAAGTAATATGATTAAAAAGAGTCAGTTTGGGGCACTGGTACTGCTGGACTGCCAACAAGTCTCAAAGTGGAGAAGGTGCAAGTTTGGAGAGCCTCTCCCTGACCCCCAGACCAGTCTCAGCACCCTGAACTGCTGCCATTCCAACACCATTTGCTACCATACATGTGCAAATATTTCCTGTCAGTCTCCTGCACTAGCTCCCCAAGGACAGGCAGTGTACTGGGCGGAGCTCCGCTCTACCACAACCCTGCACTTGGTACTGTGCCCTGGGATGTGGTGGTACATCATCCATGCCTGCTGCATAATAATAGGGTACAATGGACTTGTAAATAAAACTGGCACTCAATACTGTGTGTTCTATCACACTGTGATAGAACAATACTTTGCCTAGAATCAAATCTGGAAAGATTTCTTAAAAGAGGAAATAAATGCAAATTTGTGCTCAAATTTGTGCAACCACTAGATGTCTATATATGTCTGAGGAGGAAGCAATAAATAAGCAAGAGGTCAAAATGGAGGCAATTCTACACTCCTACCGTCCCTATACAAACCAGACCATCCACATAGGTTCAGTTCCATCACAGTCACCTGAGTAGCACTTGGGTGACAGAGCCCAGCTCTGTGTTCTAAAAGGACCAGCACTCTGGCCGGCTGCCCGAAGTGGAAGGCACACTGGTTCAGCTGCCCGAACATGGGGACCGTGTTTTCATAACACCACATTTCCACCCCCAGACCTCTGCTTGCTTCGTGACTACAGTCCCCCCCCTTCCCCCCGAGCTGACTTGTACCTGGATCTGTGTTGACAACAGTTTTACTCTGAATAAGCTGGGAAGGGGAGAAGCCAATCTCCAGCAGCCAAGGCCTGAGGTCCACGTAAGCATCCTCGAGTTGCTGGAGGACGTAGATGAAGAACTCAGATACTTCCTCGCCCTTGCTCTGTACCAGGTCCAGAATTTTGCGAACCTGGTGATGGCACAAACATGAGGAAACTGAGCTGGCCCTGGGGGAAACTCCCACCAGCAAGGCCCCCATGGCTAGGCTCTAAGTGCTCATAGCAGCCTTGAACTTGGCCTTCACCTAGCACTTATGAAATGCTATACACTGAAGACTCAAAATCCGTGAAATGGATCACCGGAGCAAGAACTGAAACCCCAGAGCGCTAAGAAACTCAGAGGCTCCCACAAAACTAAAACTAAAAGGTTGGCCTCACAGCTAGCATTGGGAGTTCTCTACGTCTCCTTTTTTTACTTAATCCAATACCATTCTGTCCTCTCAGGGAATGAGTGCTGACTGAGTGGGACCATCATCCAGTGAGGGGTAACAGAGCCGCATAGCTTGCATAGCTTTGCACTATTAATAATATAAAGAAAAATACAAGCGTGTACCACTGTGCTCCCCCCAAAACCCTTTTGTTCTCCTTCAAGCCTAGCACAATTACATTACAAACAGGTTCATTTTCTAACAAGGAAGGAAGTTTGGATCTTGTCAATTTTATTTTTCAGAAGATGACAGAAAGGCAGAGTGAAACTAAGTGCTGTTAAGACTTCCCACAGTGGAAAGTGGAAAATTCTTTGGGGCACAGTCATTCTGGCAACTTGGACATTGGCCATTTGCAGTGCATTATCAGGGAGCAGCTCTTCAGGGCTTATAAACACTGAATAGAGCCTGTTAATGTATTAGGCTCATTTCCTTTTCTCTCCTACTAACTAAAGTGCATTGAAAAAAAGAAGTGTATGGGACCCAATCCACATAGCAGAGGAGAGCTGAGACATGAGAGAAAAGCTGCTCTTGACGTGAACACAGAAGTGAAAGTTATTGTGTAATAAGCAAGTAACCCAAGCGTGTATGTTCTAGAAAGCATGTGAAAGTGCACTAGGCTCACAAGCTCAGCTCTCAGCTGAGTGGGGAGAAGGCCCTGCAACCTAGTATAAAGCCCACACAGCGCCCATGCCACCCTGTCACCAGATACCTTGTCGGGCTGTGTGGGGCAGGCGCACACAATCTCCGCATCCTCAGCCGAGAAGTAGTCATTCTTCAACAAGTTGTCCAGTAGACACTGAGTGTTGCGGATGTGAGTGACCAGAAGTTCACGGTAGGCTTTCAGCCACTTAATATGGGGATGAGAATGAGCAGGGATGGCTTCCATCTCACCTTGGCCCCATCTTTCCATGGCTAAAGTAGCAAGCCGCTACTTTACCCAAATACATCTTTGGCTGCATGTGGCTTCCTGGCAGGATGGCAATTGGAATCCAGAGGCAGCCCTCCAGGGGGCCTGTTTCTCAGTGCAACCCTGAAGAGACAGAAGCCACCACAAAGTAACAGCTGTGGGAAAGAGCCCTCTTCCCTTCACTTTGACCTTGGAATTCCTCAACCTAGAACAGGAGGCATCATGCTTAATGACATGATAATCTAGGATGTCATTGCTTCTGTGGATTTCATTACAAGTTTAAGTGACCAGAGGTGGGCAACCCTTTGTTTAGCAAAAATTCATAATTACTATATATTAAAAAAAAAAGACAAAAGTATACTTCAATACCAGACCAAGTTAGAAGGGAAGGTGGGAAGGTGCATTGTTTCCCATAATCAGGTTAACTGGAAACCTCATGTGCCTCCTGAACCGCCCACCTAGGTAGGAGCAGGGACAGGCTGCTTCATTTGGGAATTACTATAACTTGAATTATTTGCTTTCTTGTAGCATAAAATCCTCCAGTCACTTCATCACTCAACCTTGTGTAATTCAATGGATCTTAGAAGCAGAAACCGGCCATTTAGACCTTAGACAGATGTGTTACCTGTGGCAGCACATGCACTAGACCTTAAATAGGAATAGTCTAGAGAGATCATTGAAAATTTTTTGGTTGAGTTAAAAACTGCTTAAATCTCGAAATACTGTCAGTAACATTAATGTATGTTTCATAAACCCACATCTGTTAACATTCCAGTCAAGTTTCCACCAAGTAACACTTGGATCTCCTGTTCTCCAACACACACCCTTATTAAATATTTCTCTCTCAAGTTGCCAAACACTGTCAACCCCACAGATTCTCAGTTGAACCCCATTAAGTAACAGAAGGGCAAGAGAGCCTTTCCCAAATGAATTTCAAGGGATGAAAGTAGGTGGCTAGTGACTGTGTCACCAAAAGTATGCTAATCCAGCCTTTTGTGGTCAATTCTGTAGACCACTTTGAGATTTCTAAAACACTGGATGCTAGTTGATAGTATTAAATTTCAATTAATGGTTAATAATACCTTTTTAAGTTTCTCCCATCATTCTTTGAACTCGATCACAGTATTTTTTAAAATTGTTCTTTTAAATCTTCAATTTTCAATTTTGTTCTGGAATCTGAAAAATGAAAAGAAAGGTTTCTTTGAAAATACCATTATACTGAGGGTTAAAAAGAAAATGAAATGACGACAGGGCAATTTTGAAATCCAGAACTCCAGGTTCTCCATGGGCTCCTGGAGCCTTTTCCCTAGAGGACTGTTTTCTGAATGTCAGTGATTTGGACACATGGTCACTTTGGGGACAAGACCATGGTGGGGTACCACATATACCTTATTTGCTTAGGATTTTACTTTAAATAGACATTATTTTAAAGCTTTAAAGGTTAATTGTTACCCTCTGTTAAGAATAAATGGTTAATATTTTATACTTACTGAGCTAACATTGGTTTCAACACTGTTTATGATTCAGAAGTACAGCCTCACACCTTCTCACATGTAAGTTAACCACACCACACCCAATATCAAGGCTCCCATATTCCTCCCTCACAGTCCATTGGCTCCTCCCCTTTTGCTCCCCACCTCCCCCTTACTCCTTTGGAGTCTTAATTTTACGGTTAGATTTCTAAATTTTATTCTTAGTTTGGTTTGGTTTGACCCTTTGTTTTGTTTATCGTTAATATTCCACACGTGAGTCAAACCATCTGATACTTTTTTTCATACCAAGACTTTGTGCATTTTTGCTTACATTACATTTCAATTTGGACCAACCACATTTCAAGAGTTCAGTAGCCACATGTGGTCAGTGGCTGCTGTATTGGACAGTGTGGTGCAGTGTTAGCAGAATCACTGTGGGTGGCTGATAGCTGACACAGGACTCTCAGTAAACTACAGGTTGGAATGTCCATCCTGGGGAAGCCTCCAGAAATTCACTTGACAGTACGTATCAAGAATCCATGAAAAGTTTTAGTAACTTTTCAGTTTAAAACTCTGCCCTTGGAAAAGATTCAGAGGTTCTGACAGCTTTGAAATGAGCAATTTCCATTTTTAACAATGATAGGATAGCTGTAGCTTCTACAGAGGACACCTACAGGTGGATGTATCCACAGATCAGGGTACATTCAGACAACAGGGCATCATTCAATAATAATAAATATGAAAAAAGTACTAATACAACATGAATGAGTATCACAGATAGTATGCCAAGTGAGAGAAATAATACTCATAGTATATAGCATATAATCCTATTTATGACTCTAGAGGTTTGGTTTAGCAATCAGAATAGTGGTTTCTTAGGGCAAGGAGATGGGAGGGGGAAAGAAATTGACTGTATACAGAGAACTTTCTGGAAAGAAATGTATCTTGATTGGAGAGTATATCACATATGTGAACACATGTGCATCAATACATATGAACACACACATAATTATATACATGTGTGCATGTGTCTTATATACATATATATTTGTTAAAAGTCACTAACCTGTGACTTTTCTATATGAAAATGTACTTCAAGTAATAGCATTTTTTTAGTCAAAACAAAACACATTTCTAGGTAAATAAAAGCTATGTTACCAGCATAGCTCATTCATATAAGTACTAAATGAAGTTTTATAGATAGAAGAAAGTGATCACAAAATAAAAACAAAAAAGGGCAACAGAAAGTGTTAATTTGTGGGTAATTATCAATGTGTATTAACTGAATAATACCAACATGGGACCTAAACTATATGTATAATTTACATGCATAACAGCAATAACACAAAAGGTAGAAGGAAATAAATGAAGCTAAGTTGTTTTAAGGTCAAAGTGTTTACTGAAAACTGGAAAAATATTCCTTCATATTAGTAACAATGCAAGGATTCAGGTTTTAATTTCTAAGATTACCACAAAAAAAATTAGTTAAAAAATATGACACATTGGGAAGAGAAAATAGAACAATTCCAAAAGAAGGCAGAGATAAAGGAACAAAACAAACAAACAAACAAAAAAACAAATGAGACTAATAAAAATCAGATCACAGACACAAATCCAACAAATATAGTAGCAATTCAATCAAATGAAAATAGACTAAATACACCAATTTAAAATACTGGCAGACTTATTAGGAAAAAACCCTACAAGTTGCTTAAATAGAGATACCTTAAATAAAAAGGCAGTTTCATTCATTCATTTATCTATTCACAAAAATGGGAAGAGACGTAATAGATGCATACTGTCTTAAAAAGAACTGGCACAGTTCTATTCAAATTAAAGTAGACCATAAGGGAAGAAATATTAGAGGTAGAAGAACATCTCAGAAGATATAAAGATCAGTTCTAAAGGATGTTAGAACCTTTATTTTGTATACATCTGGTAACATTTTTAAAAAATATAACAAAAAATTGACAAATGAAAGGAAATAGAGATAAATTCAGTTCTAAGGGGGAACTTTAACATATTTCTCAGAATAGCTGAGAAACAAATAGACTAAACAAAATATGGAGAACATGGACGAAACTATCAAGTTTGTGTAACTGACTTCTACACAACAGTACTCAGCAGCAAGAGATTGCCCAGTGTGCACAGTGCACATGCAGTGTTTGTCAAAACTAGCCATGTTCTGGGCCATTACAAGTTCATAGCAAATTTACAAGTACTGAAATCTTTCAGAATATGTTTTCTAACTAGGGTGGAATTAAGCTGGATATCAAAACCAGAAAGACGCCTAAGAAAACTCCAAGCACCATAGATTAAAAAAAAAGAAGTGAAAATGAAAATTAGAAAATCAGGTTAATTGCATGATAACCATATCAAAATCTGTGGGTTAAAAGTAAGGAAGTCATAAAAATGGATCATCTATGCATAGATGAGGAAAGAAAAACAAAAACCAAGTCACTATGCCACAGATATTTATTTACTCTTGTTCATAAATATTCATGAAGAGGATTTTAAAGGCTATATGAAATTTTCACATGGATGATATTCTAACTTCTTCAAGGATTCCCTATACTCAGATTGCATATATGCATTATATGTATTTATATTATATATACACAATATA